TGGTCGGGGGGATCCCGCCCGGCCGGGCCCCGGCGCCATCGCGGACACTCACCCGACACCGCCGCGCGCCACACACAGARAGGGGGCGTRGCCGCCGCCGTGCGCTTTTATACCSCGACAGGACCCCGGCRCGCGCGCGTGCKYCCTTGCKYCGGGGCTGCCCGCCGCGGTGCCTGCTCCGCAGCATGGCTTCCTCGTATCTGTGGGAGATTGTGTAGGCTTGGAACCGAGTATTGGGAAGCGGTTTGAAACAGAAATTAAAGCATGAGAGTGAGTAGCTAGGAAAAATAACTACAAACAAATTTTTAAACAAATACTTTATTTATTCCTGATCTGTGATCGATAGCTGACCTCAGCCTGCCACAGCAGAGGCTCTTCAATGATGATTAAATAGAGCTTCGCAAGAAAATCGGTTTGCTGTTTTCCAGGGAAAGAATGGTGCAAGTTAAGTATCCGAAGGCAAACTGTGACCCAGGAGGTTTCTTAAAGAGGAACATGGTCTTTTTAACGGAAAAACCACTTTTAACTGCTGATTAAAAAAAAAACAAAAACAAAAACAAACAAAAAAAAACAACAAAAAACACACATTTAAATGCTGATGCCGTAAGACACATCAGTATCTCCAAGAAGTGCAATATACATTCAGTCCAGGAGATGGAAGTACGCACATTTGGAAACCTTGTATTACAGCAAGAATGATAATAACAGTCGAAGTATAATCTAATATTCTAACAGCAGAGCATTCAAAAGCAGTTTTCCTAGCACAGTTGCAAGGAAACAAAGCTGTACTGAGGTAAAATTTGTGTATGTGCAGAGAGGAGGCTTTCATTGCCACTGAACTGTAGGAGTCTCTAATTTGTATGTAATAACTAATGGAAGTGTGTGATCCTCGTGGAAGGTCCACTCCACTGCACAGTGTGAGCTCAGCGTTCAGGTGGGTGTTCTGCACGCTGTTGGCACTGCTCCACTTGCTCCACCTTTCTGCCTGTATTCCTAGAAGCAGGAGCTGGTTTCTTAAGCTCTGCATTTCCCCCTGGAGTTATGTTCATTGAGCACCCTGCAGTTCAAATGCTGGCATGCAGCCATAAGGAATGACATCTTTAATACAAGGATTGTAGTTCTGTGCTAAAAGTAGTTCTAGTGCACTTGAGGTTGGGTGAGTRGAGTAACCAGCAGAGTGTTAGAAAATGAGGAGCTGCCAGGTGCAGGGCAAGAGCCTGCCTGGGTTCTAAAGGTCTGAAGTGGTGTCAGTGCAGATGCTGACATGCAGCTTCACTGAGCAGCCAGCCCCAGCAGAGGAACTCGGTCCTCTCAAAATTTGGTKGTATTATAAACAGTTTAACATGCTATCTATAAACTTGGACTTGGGGAGAGGAAGATAAGCTGCTGTCACATGGCATTCAAGAATTTCARTTCTTTCCAGCCTGCTGTTCTGAATGATCTGTTTGGACTCACCATCTTGCTGCATATATTTAAAAATCCTTTGCATATAGCTACTACCCTTTCTACTCACCATTCTGTTCCTTGACTCCCCCTGACTGTCTCCCCTTTCCAGGCTGGCAGCCTTCCTCTTTTTTTCCACTATGATCAAAATGGGAACTGAACTTGGGGACTTTTTCAGACAAGCAATACTACAGTGAGGCTATAATTGTTCACTCATCTCAGCCATTCTCTTCCTGCTCCTTTTTCCCATTTGCTATTTCTCTCCTTGTCTCTTGCTCTGGTAACCTTTACCTTTCCCTTGTGCTCACCCTGATAACCACAACCCATATTTTCTTCAGAATGTCAGACTGCAGGTTTAGTATAAGTGCCATACTGTAAATTGTGGAGACTCAGGAACTGCCTAATGAGTGGTTCAGACAGTGGCACAGTGTGGTGAGGCAGCCATGTAGGCAGATGAAAGTATCACGTATTGCAAACTCCCAAGAGAGGTCCATGACACTGCTACACTCTGAACAAACAGTTCTGAATTTCAGTTCTGAACAATCCTTGCAAAAACTTACTTTCATCTGACATMTGTCTCTAAAAATACAAAGCACAGGCATATGCAATAATTAAATGTCATGGGACAGAATGATCTCATTTTCCTTGCAAAACAGACATGATTTCTCAGTCACATGGAATATCAAGCTAGAAGCCTTCTTGTTTTATATCCACAAAAGTTCTGCTCATCAGCCCAGAGGGGACAGATGTGTATTTCCAAGTGCCTCCAAATGTACAAAAGAAACCAGCCAACCACTTGCAAGAGATGTGTGTGTCAAGTTTCCCGYGCTTGGAGAAATTACAGAGAGACCATTCTAGAGTCTCAGAGAGAGGACAAACTATGGTATTTCAATACCAAWTTGAAATTAAGTAAGGCCTTGATTAATAATAATTGAACAAAACAGTTTGCTGGTTTCTGTTACCTTCCACARGTTTTGCATTAGATGCTCAAAGGATGTGGTTATCATGTGGTCACATTAGARTAATTTTAAACTRTTTCCCAATAGCATTGTGCAGCTGYTAGCAAAAGAAATATCAGTATGATGCAAATATGCACTAAGAATTTCTTGATTTCAATGCAAAAGTCTTTCTAAGATCTCTACAACCTTAGAGAACAATATCAAGGCATATGTATTCATACATGTCCTGGATATCCATGAAGGAAGCTACTCTTAAGGCAGTTGTCTTTTATATGTTTCTATCTTGTAGATGTAAGCAATGAATTTGACTCTATGTCTAGAGTTTATAGAGGGCTAGTGCTCTAAGCCTTGAATTCTACATACAATTTGAGATCTGAAAGAAAATATACATTTTAATAAAGTTGTTGCAGATATGACATAAGCAAGAAAGGCTTGTATGCTTTTAAAAAATATATATTTTTGTTAGACTTGATAAACTATTGTAAAAAGCTGGTAACAAGTACTGGTTTGAAGGTTAGCAAGTATTGTAGCTGTACTGGTTTGAGCTGGGGTAGTGTTATTCATCTTCACAGTAGCTGGTGTAGGGCTGTATTTTGGGTTTATGCTGTAAACAGTGTTGATAACACAGGATGTTTTAGTTAYTGCTGAGCAGTGCTTGCACAGAGCCAAGGCCTTTTCTGCTTCTCAGCCCACTGCAACAGTGAGAAGACTGGGGGTGCACAAGAAGCTGGGAGGGGAGTCAGCCAGGACAGCTGACCCCAGCTGACCCCAGGGATATCCCATACTGTATGGTGTTGGGCTCACCATATRTAGAACTGGGGGGAGAAGAAAGTGGGGGACATTTGGAGTGAYGGTATTTTTCTTCCCAAGTAATGGTTACATGTGATGGAGATCAGCTTTCCTGGAGATTGCTGAACACCTGCCTGYCCATGGGAACTGGTGAAGACATTCCTTGTTTTGCTTTGCTTTCCTGCATAGCTCTTGCTTCATCAGTCAAACTGTCTTTATCACAACACATGGGTTTTCTAAATTTTCTGATTCTTTGACCAGTCCCACTGGGAGGGAATGAAGGAGAGGATGTGTGGGGCTGAGTTGCTGGCTGGTGTTAAACCACCATGGTACCTTACTAAGAATGTGTGAAGAGTTAACAAACATATTCCATCAACAAATTTCTTCTGGCAATAATGAGCAATGCATAAGCAAGAAAGTTCATAGCCATGCTTTATTATTGGAGTCATGCATCACTGCTACTTCCCACACTTCAGCCTTCTGTGCACACTAACTTTGTGGAAATCTGACTCCATAGGCTTTGTAAGATTACTCATATGTAATNTGCATCACTGCTACTTCCCACACTTCAGCCTTCTGTGCACACTAACTTTGTGGAAATCTGACTCCATAGGCTTTGTAAGATTACTCATATGTAATTATTAATGCGAGGAGGATTGCAGTTTCAAAGTAGTTGGAAGCTGTAGAAATAAGAGTCCAGACTGGAAAGAGCAAGTAGTTGGAGTAAGAACTGTTTCCTCTCCTGAACATAACTGACTGCATCTCTAGCCACAAAAATGAATGCTTTATTCTCTTGCCACAATTTTAATATTTCCCTACAAATTTCTCTTATTGACTCCACTTATGTGTCGTACTTTGCACATATCATGAGGCTTTTGTTGTTATCCTTTGTGAACTCATGATGACTTGCAAGTGTCCTTCTCTCTTTTTTTTTTTTTTTTTTTTTTTTTTGCGAAAAGGGTAAGGCTGCTGACAGTATCTAGGGATGGGATTTATGTTTATGTCTTTTTCTGGAGGCAGGCAGGCAGGAAAATATCAAGGTAGTTCTTAGGGACTTTTCAACTTCACAGCCAGAATATATGCCACATAAAATATATTGTGAAAATAGGCTTCAGCAAAGGAACATGTTACTGTTGTTATTTGTGGCTGCCAAATAGTTTTTAAGTTTCCTAATCTTGTGATAAGAAAGTAGTTCTGCTTTTTTCCTGTCATGCAGACTGTGTGATTCTAAAGTTAGGTACATGGCACCCTTTGTTTTGAAATGWCCCTTTCATGCTTCTTAATATTGTAACTGGTTACTAGATGGAATACTAATAGCCTAGTTGAAATAGTGGTCTTAAGAAGTAATCACTGTTTTTTTTTTTCTCTTCAAGCAACAGATGGTCTCTCTTTTATTACATCTGAAAGCAATCCTCAGCTCACACCTCATCTCCTCCCTCACTTTCCTGCCCCGTGGATAGGAACTTGTGCTGAATGCACTGATTATACCACCTCTTCCTCATCCCCTGGCGAGATTTATAGCTATTAATTCTTGTGACAACATTATCGTTAATCTCTTGTGTCAATTTCCGTGAGTCCTGCGACTCGCTGCGGCTGTGTAATACTCGCGCTCTTGCTTGGTGTACCGATGTTCACAATGCTCTGAGGCAGTGTGCAGCCCTGGTGCAGGTGTGCAGCCCTGGTGCAGGTGTGCCGCTCCCCCGCAGCCGGCAGGGTGCCATCGGGCCGCCCCAAGCCCGGCGCTCTGGGCCCGTGCGGGCAGTGCCGGCGGCGGCTGCGGGCCCGGGGCGCGGCAGGCCGGGCATGCTCAGTGCCGGCGGCGGGGCTGGCGCTGGCCCCGGTGCTCGGGCAGCCCGCGGCCGCTGCCACACGGGCGGCGGGAGGCGCCGCTGGTCCCCATGGGCAGCCGGGCGGAGAGCGGCGAGGGCGAGCAGCCCCCAGGTGCGAGGCGGGGGCTCCCCGCGTTCCTCGGCACGGCCCGGGCCGGGGGCGCTGCTCCCCCGCGGGCTGCGGCGGGGACGGGAGCGCAGCGAGCGGGACGGGTCCCTCGCCGGGCTATCCCGCTGGGATGGAGCACGGGCTGGGCCGGGAGAGCGGCGGGGCAGCTCCGGCTGCAGTCCCAGCACCCCGGGGTGGGCTGAGGGGCGGCTGCTGGCGCCTGCACCGCCAACTCTGCGCTCCGGCGCGGGGAAAATGCAGCATGGCATCACTCGCTTCTCAGAGCCGGCAGGGTACGGGTTTGTGTGGGTTTTAATTTTCCAGCCTGATTCGTAAATTGTTCCCTTCTGTGAGTTTATAATACTTCGTTATTGTTTTTATTCTGTATTTTTAGATGATGATGTGTCAGAAGCAGCTGGTGAGCGACCAAGGCGGTTTACCACCGAACAACTTTTTACATTGGTTGCCGCAGCTTCTATCAACTTCAGTTCAATGATGTGCTAYTCAATCCTGGGACCCTTTTTTCCTTCAGAGGTAAACAGCTTCGTTAGTTACTCTCTACATTACTTTTTTGCATGTTGAAACTTTTAGAAACATCTTGAACTCGATGGGATGTTTATGGCTGGCTGTAAGCCCCGAGGTAAGGCTTTTCAGTTGGGGCAATTCAGTGATAGCGTGGTGCTGGAGTAGATAGAGTGCATAAAATGGTGGCCTGGATCTTGTCCATGGACTGATCTTCCCTGACTKCAGAGGAGACAGCAAACTAATGAGATGAGATAGAAGCCAAAGTGGAATCTTGGAGAAGTTAAATAATTTTTAGTGTTACATTGTACTTTCATAGATCTGMCATTAGCCTCTGCCAATGACCTGACTTGCATTTCCATGCCCTAGCCAGCCACTCAATGATTTTTTATTTACATCTACCTCTGTTAACTCATTCTGGGCCATCATTAACTGTGCTAACTTCCTGATCTAGGAATTCTAGAGAAAACAGTAAAATCTCTTCTTATGTTGAATGAATACAATGTTTAAATATAATATGAAATATGAATACAATGTTTAAATATAATATGAAAAAGATGATCATGGTTCCTTTGCAGCAGATATCCATTTCTCTCATGACCAAATTGTTGCCAAGTATTTACAAATAAATTTTTTTTTTTTGTCTAAATATTCCTACGTACTACTYGTGACCAAGTAAGTGTATTTGGTCAGCTAAATAAGTATAAAAATTATCGGGTCCCTGTTATGGCGCAGTATGTTATAGTGAAGATAACAGATATCACCATTTATTGCCCTGTCACTGTGCAAGAGATCAAAGTTTTGTAGCTTGGTGCCCCTGCACGCTTATTGAAGCCACCTTTATATAGTCTGGCCTCCTGTTCAGCAAATAACACAATGGTTACATTCACTGACAAATGAACATTGCTTTTCCCTTTATTAMATGTTAGAAGTGCAACATGTCTAAATTGTGTTTTTACCTTATAAGTCCTACTGCCTCTGAGAAAACAAATTGCTTTCTAACTGCATTAATAGTTAAAAATACTTAAATGTGCAAGGCTTGAATGTTACCTCAAGAATTTGTCTATATCTTTACATGGTTGTGATCTTTTTTGCAGGCAGAAAAAAAAGGTGCCAGTAACACCATTGTTGGCCTGATTTTTGGATGTTTTGCTTTGTTCAATTTCTCRGCTTCTTTAATATTGGGAAATTATGTAAGTATTATTGAAGCTGTAACTTATTTCTTTGATGACACAGGCTGGTACATGAATACAGTTCTGTGAGGCTGAGGAAAGAGCTGTTCCCTTCAGTGTGCTACTGCAGGTTTGTGTCTGCAGTAAGTGGAGTACGACCAGTCAGTCTGAATGTAATCTAAGTGTTGTCAGTACTCTTCTGGAGTTCCTGAGGGTACCACAGGGCAATGGACATGTAACTGTTTTGTTTCTCTGGTTAACATGTACTGTTTGCTTTAGAGTAACCTGCTGATCAATTCTGCTTTCTATGACCTCCTTTCTCCTACCTGCCATTTCATTTGTTGCACTTACTAATATATTCTGTTCACCTCTGGCAACATTCTTAAGGTGTTTTGTTTTTGTTTTTTTTTTCTTTGTGAGCTGCACCTGTACTTCTTTTCTGGTATGTTCTTTTTTTTTAACATTTCCTCTTGCTAAATTCTCTTCTGCTTAACTCAGTTTCTCCTTCAACTTTATTATACAGTAATATGAGATAAATGTCTCCAGATCTTGCAGCCTGAGTTTTCCTGCAGATTCAGGATTTTTCTCATGTTGGAGAAATCGCAAATAAATTGTATAACTGACTTTTGGCTCATGTGCTGGAGCACTGTTGTCTATGCATGATTGGCTTGGGCTGCTCAGGATCATTCCTTAAGYTGGGGCTGCTGCAGAGTCAAAATTGTCTCAGTCTTTGGCTGGGCAGCCTCTTTGCTGACCCTGTGGTGAATGCTTTTCTCTTGTGCTGAGGTGGCTCAGAAAATGTCACGTAGGTGCCATTACTAAGTCCAAGTCTTGGTGCCTGCAATGGCATTCAACTATGGCACAACCCTCACCAAGTACTGTTCAGGGGAGAGAGTGAGTGTGCCATACTTACTRCAGACAGCTGAAGTCAACATCAATAGATGTGGACAGTGCAGCAGCCAGAGATCCTGAGGGTTTCAGTGAAACTCAGCAAAATATGGGCTTTAGTAATAATGGCTGAAAGGCAAGGACTTTGTCCAGGCCTGAACAAAAAAAAGGAGCCTGAAATACCTACTGTCCTTAGGGGAAGTTGCAGCATGGAATTAGAAGCTCAATTGTACTTTGTTACGGGATTGACTTTGCTTTATGGCATGCCTCCCRTCGTTCTTCACTCTGGTGAGAGAGCCTGAAATGAAGAAAGGTGTAGTAATTAATTTGCCTGGTAATTAATGGGAAAGCCTGAAACTTCCATACTTTGAATGCCTAAGCTTTGTGATTTTGCATAAAAATCARCTTCCATATCTCTCCTTAGCCAGATATGTGACAGGTATTGCTGGCCTTGCCTCAGTTATGGTGCTGGAGTGAGAAGTTTGGAAACAAACATTCTGCCTATTTATAATGACACATGCTGCTGTAACCTGCTGCTCTGGAGAAGCTGCAGCATTCTGCTGTGAAATAGTTAACTGTAGCATTGTCTTACCATTCTGAAAACTGGGTTAAGTCACTTAACTGTTGGGAGTATTTTTAGATTCAGTATTGAATGAAGGCACACCAGTAGGAGCAGTGTTTCCAGGTCTTTTAGTTACAGGTGCTATAAAGTTCCCATAATGCTTTGATTTCTTAACAGTAACTTACATTGAAAAATTTTGATCTTTCCTTGAAATACTAACATGCAAAAATGGTATTTAATTTACAGCTTTCACAAATTGGAGCAAAATTCATGTTTGTGGCAGGGATGTTTGTTTCAGGATGTGTGACCATTCTGTTTGGGTAAGTAATTTCTGTTGCTTGGTTTTGTTGCATTTGTCTGCTGATTATTTTCATCCATATGAATAGAAGGAGACAAAACCAAAGTAGAAACTCTTGGGCATCCATTGTGTGTCGGTTAGGTCAGCTTTTTACATCTACTTTTTATCTGCCCTAGAGCAGAATGAACACTTCTCCGTTTCACTAGGTTTCGGAGTCTGTTTGCTATTTTGAAAGCAGAGGAGGAAGGTTCTGTGTATTTTAGTTACTGCTGTAGTTCACAAACAGTGAAAAGCCTGTCAAAGTGCAGCAATAAGGGAACAATTTCTGTTTAATGTTTTAACTGCTCTTTTCTTAAAAATAATTGGGTTTGAATGGGAAGCTTTGTCTGGGAGGTGAAGAGGCTAAGTCACTCATTTTAACAAAGTAAATGTTTTCTTAACAATGAAGGAATCTCCTATTACTTAGTTGTAACATATTGCATCAGACTTCTTTCATTGGTGCTTGGAAAAGCTATGAAATACAACAAAGATGGCATTGGAGTTTTTCACAGGTTAGGATTTTCRTGCTCTTTTCACTGCCAAACGAAGGGAAAAGGAGAAAGCTGCCAGAAATAGTCTGGTAGAGTTTGAGTGATTTCACTGATGTGGTTCAAAGAAAAGTGGTAATAGAAAGTATTGAGTGTTTTGTAACTGTGTCATTTAATAAGTAAGAAGTTATGCTTAGTGCCTTTAGTAAATGGCTTCTTCCATCGTGAGGTAGGTCCAATTTACTGTTGGGATTTTTCTTTTCCAGAATGCTGGACAAAGTGTCAAGTGGACCCGTGTTTATCAGTTTGTGCTTTTTAGTAAGAGCAATGGATGCAATAAGTTTTGCAGCAGCAATTACAGCATCATTTTCAATCCTTGCAAAGGCATTTCCCACTAATATAGCCACTGTCCTGGTAAGTTCAAAAAGCAGTGTTACAGCTGAGTACTGGCAATATGATAAATTGCTAGTGGGCAGCCTAAAACCAGGAGGACCTATCTCATCATACTGRCTTTCTTTCTGCTTAATTTTTATCCTTTAGGGCAGCCTTGAAATTTTTTCAGGACTCGGACTGGTGCTGGGCCCTCCTTTGGGTGGCTTTCTCTATCAATCATTTGGTTATGAGGTGCCTTTCATTACACTGGGATGCATAGTGTTGGCTTTGGTGCCTGTGAATATGTGCATATTGCCAAAATATGGTAAGTGTCCTTCTACCTGCCTCTTTCACTCAACTTTTCATCTATTTAAGTGTCTTTAAAATAAAAGGTGTCAGCTTCTGGAGTCTGATCCCAGTCAGAGGGCAAAACTTCAGTTGAATTAACTGGTCATCTTGATCAGGCGCATGTTTTAATGCTAACCTGAATTCATGAGASCAGATGGCCTGGAATGCATGCAACTCCTCATGCCCATTTCTGCAAACACTAGGAACTCTATGGAAGTGAACTGAGATATATTTTTGTTTTCTTTTGTCTTCTTAGCTTCAGGGCTTGTAAAGGACCAGTTGTATCTGCTTTATATAGGTTTGTCATTGCAGCTCATAGAAAAAAAAGCTGGAGATAGATTTTGCCTAAAACAGGAGAGCTCAACATGTTGAAGAGTTAAGAGTGGAGGGGAAAACTAATTATAGGGAGAAAAAAAGTATTTGTACTGAACAATGCGGGATCTGATTAACATCAAAAAATGCAGGATTTGTTTAACATCAAAAAATGTTAATAAATGACGGGTTTAATGAAGTTCTGGAGGTCATATAAATTCATTAAATTGTAGATGGTCCWGCTTGGACAGAAAGCTAGCTTAAAGATAAGTCCTCACACAAGACAGTAATTGCAAGGCTACAGTTCTTTTATTCTTTTCTAGAGAAAAAAYCTAGTAACTTTAAAATGCTTCTTTAAAAAACCTTTTTTACCCCTTAATATGAAAACTGGARAATAACTTCAAGTTTATTTGCTTTTAGAAGAAACTTACAGTGATTAACCATGTGCTGCTACTGCTGGTTTTCCCCCCAACCTCTCCAAGCTCTGAAATTGTCATGATATTCCTGCCAATTTGAAACTGTGTTAAATAAGTATTAGCTCTGAACTGTGGATGCTAATACTTGAACTTTCAGTTCTACATATACTTTGAGACCACTTTCAAGTATTAGAGGAGAAAGGGGGCCAGACTTAGAAATGCCATGTAACCATGACATCTGAAAGAAGTTTCCTGGAGTACAAATGTAACATGTAGGAGTTCAATTAGTTGCTAAAAAAATCAGACAGATTTCAATTGATAAATAGAAATCTTTTTGCCTTACTGTCAAAGCATGTTGGTTTGATTGGATATGARTTGTTCATGTATGTGTGCAAGTTGAGACATATTTATGAAAATTTCACTGGAGAAGTGCTAGCAGAGAAGTAACTACTTTTTTCACATAATGGGAATAGTACATGCTTTTGTTCTTTTCAAGTTGGACATTTGCAGTGTTGAAGTCTAAATTGTGTCATTTTCTTTTTCACCTATCAAATTTTGTTTTTTGCTATAAAAACAGTATAGCGCATAATATTGAATTTAATTTGTTGTGTAACAGAAGTAAGAGGACTAGAAGCAGGAATATGCTCTTTTCTAAAGCAAGGAGATCAATCATGAGCTTCTGAAAATAATGCAATCCCCCCCGCCCCCCCTTTTTGTATTGAAACAGATTCAACTCCTAGCAAGGAATCTTTTTGGAAGCTCATTCTTCTGCCAAAAGTCTTAGTACTCTGYCTCACTATATTTTCTCTGAGTGCATGCTTGGGTTTTTTGGATCCCACAATGTCTCTGTTTATCCTAAAGAAGGTAAGTCTTGCTAACATGCAGTGAAGTCTTGACTTAATAAATAGTAAGTAACTTGTAATAAATTAAGCTTAAATATCCTAATAAAAATCGAGCTTTGTCCAATCAACACTGCTTTAGTTAACTGTTGTATGATTTCCAAGTAACTTGATTTCTTGGAATTCTTTGGTTGAAAMGTTGGAGTTGAGTTTTATAGCACTACTTACTTTTAAGATGTGCTGGTTAACAWGGGATGAATACAGTACTTAGGCTTTTCTAATGCAAATAAAACTAAAGATTGGAGAGATAAAGACTAAGTCCATCAAAATTTCAGTGTCTAAAGTGTCTGTTTCAAGTGTATTAGATTGTAATGTTAGAATCCAGGATACTGSTGTAGGGGACATGGCATRGTATTTCCTCCTGACATTAGGATTTATGTGAGTRCAGTTGTGTCAGGTGTTTCYACYACTCCATGCTTAAACTTTGTTGCTGAAAGCAATGAAACTGAAGCTGTGTTGATGCTTTCAAATACTTGAAAAACCTCTATATATTATCAGTGAAATACTTAAAATCATGCATTTCAGTATTTTGACTTAAAATATAATTCTTGGATTGAAGAGTKAATGTAGCATATGTGTTTTCTCTTGTTTTTTTGTTTTATTTKTCTTCCTTTCCATAGTTCAAACTTCCAACTGGTTATGTGGGCTTGGTGTTCCTTGGTTTGGCACTCTCATATTCCCTGTCTTCTCCCCTCCTTGGACTTGTAAGCGACAAACTGCCGGTGAGTCCTGCCCTGCTGTGTGTGCAGAGTGGTGTCCAAGGCACTCTGTGCATTTACTTAAAGGAGAAAAACATCCTCTATGGAAGTGATGGATGTAGGCTTGGTTCCATTAAGGGATTTGCCTTTCCAGACCTTGCACATGCACCCATGCACTTCTACATGGAAGGTCTCTTTTTGCAAGGCCCAGGGTAATTTAAGAATGTCCTCATCAGTTGAGAACATCAGACAGGCAGCTAAAGTGTGCTGAGCTTTTCTAGTGGACTAAGCACAATCATTTTCCAGGCAATATTGAACAGAGAGTGGGAAAATATGTCCCAGTTATCCATGTTTTTAACCACATCTAATTTTATTGGMTTTTGAGAACAGTAGTAAAGATGTTCTGGTTAGCTCTATGGACTTTATCTCTTAAAAAGTGTAATATCCAAATTAGATCAGCATACTGGCTGCCTATCCTTTAGCCTGGTTCTTTGGCTCTTAACAGCATCATAGAAAGACACTTCGACAGTGGTGCACCTAAAACTGCCTGTTTAACAGCAACTGTTAATTAATCAATGAAACTTACACTTTCAGTGCCATGCCTGAAGGACAGTGACAGTTTTCTGACACTTTTTTCCTGACAGAAACTAGTAATGCCCTTTGTACATGAGAATTGCATAGAATCATARAATGGCCWGGGTTGGAAGGAACTTAAAGATCATMATGCAATGCTACATYSTATTTCTTATTTTAAAGAAGAGTRAGACCTAAAATACTTTGCTAACAGAGAAGGACCATTGCTTAGTATCCTGAAATCTCTGTATTAAGCTGCTGCTGCCAGTGATTGCATCTGGGGTGAGGAAACATGAATTTATTGCTTCTTGATGTACACGACAAATTCCCAGTTTAAAATTGCATACCTTTTCCTTTTCTTACACAGTACATCAGGAAGTGGCTGCTGATATCTGGAAAYTTAATTACAGGAGTGTGCTTTTTCATGCTAGGACCTGCTCCTGTACTGCACATTGAAAGGTACTGCCTCTTCTTGAGCCTGTCCCCTTTATATGATGTTTTCAACCATAATCATRTATGTCCATAAGTCTTTTATTAGCACCTCTGACCATGAAACACAGTGGTTTTAAAATGTCTAGCATGAGACTATGAATGTAAAGCAATGAAAGCATCTAAAAATGGAGATTTTACATCTTCATAAAATAGATCCTTTTCCTTGGCTTTTTATTGTTCCTGTGTTCCTGTTAATGTGTGTGGTAGGCAGAATGTTGCTTTTTATTTTCCTTCCCTCCCAATTTTATGGCATTTTTCAGTTCAGCTGAACAAAGTTCTCATTTTGTCTTACTTTTTAAATATTTCTGTTTCATTGGTGTTTTYAAACTATGGGGTTTATTTGCGTGGCTGTGCAGTAGTACTGATTTTACTTCTCTTTGTATGTAGCTGACTGTGGAAAGTGACAGATTATAGCTTTTTTTTCACTAGCAAAGTAAAGACAAGGTCTGTTGCACCTGAATGCTGTAATGCCATATTTCTCAAGTTAATTCACAGCAAAACACTGCTACATGTACAAAACAACTGTACAATCCTTTTGTCCTGGTTAGATACTCTGTTAATGGTGATGATAGTCTTGTTAATGCACAGAACTYCTCCTAAGTTGCCAATTTTTAAAGATCATAGATTTGAAACTGGTGTGGTGACACATTTGAGCTGGGGAGAAAARGAAACCAGTAATATCCTCAAAATTCTTTAGTTAGGTCTATTTGATTGGAATATATTACGCTACAAAATTTTAACTTCAAAATCCTTCACTTCTGCTACAAACCAGGTCTAGTGCTTGGACATAAGCATTGCTGAGTTAACCTCATCTGTCTGTCTCTTCCCTACATGCACCTCATAAAAAAGAACTGCATCTGATAAAAAAACCRTACCATTTGAGCACAGGATTTTCATATTCTTTTACAAAGTCTATTTCTAAAGCATGGAACTGTATTTTTCAAGTCTCAGTATTGGCTTCAAGTCACACAGCTTGTTGATCAGTCAGAGAGGGTTAATATAACAGCTTTCAGTCAAATGGAGTCCTTACTTGGAAAGAATCTTCAGCAGCTAACTTCTTGTAACTGCCTCTCTTTCAGTCAGCTGTGGATGTTTGTGCTGGTGCTGGTTTTAATTGGCTTTTCCCTTGGCATGAGTGCTATTCCAGTGTTTCCAGAGATCCTGCAATGTGCGTAGTAAGTAACTCAGTCCAAACCTTCTTTCATGGTACTGACTTAGGAAACGGCAACTGTTTTTCAGGGGCGAATATGAAATGTGACTTTTTGGCCCCTTTTTGAGACATGGCAGAAAGTAACACTTAAATGCTTCCGCTACTCTATTGTCTTAGTTTTTTTCTGACTGAGCACCCCAGTCATTATCCTCCCAGTATAACTTTGTAAATGTGTACTTTAGTAATGATCTAGAAGGGTCTTCATTTACTCTTATTGGTATGTTCCTTTTGGAACAAGGTCTTTCCTCCTCAAAAGCCACCTGTCACGGTTTCACACTTGCCATATGAAGTATGGGGAATTAGTGCAATGGTGTGATCTTACTTGGGAGAAATCGGAGATGAGGAGTAGCACTRCAATCCTCCAGAGAGTCAGCAGAGAAGAAAGTACTTGGTAAACTTGGTACTGTACGCTTTTGCTTTTTAACTATTTATGTGATGTACAAATTAAAAGGAGGGGGAAAAGTCTATAAGGAGACYGTGGCAGAATATCTATTGTATTCTTTTAACTGATCTGTCTTTCTGCAGTGAGAATGGATTTGAAGAAGGTCTGAGTCTGCTGGGACTGGTGTCTGGGCTCTTCAATGCCATGTGGTCCCTTGGGTAAGTGCACCCTTCTTTGTAAGCTAGGAGAGTTCAGCTGTTCCACACTCTTGCCACATAGAAACCTGGCTGCACTGCAACCAGAAGTCTTGCACTGAACTGTGTTGACCTTGAATTCAAAAGTTTCTTGGTTGACAGGTGTCTGGTAGACACGTTAAAACAAAGCTTTTTACCCAACAAAAGGTAAAACTGGTTTTGACAATGCTCTGGACTTGACCTCCTTGAAACATATTGTTCTGCATATCAAAAAAACTGCAGTGATTAGGTGGACATTTGCTTGCACTTTGGTGTAGTCATTTTTCTTGTCATAAAAATATCTAAAGCTCATTTCAGAGAGATGTTGACCTTAGTTTTTTACAAAGCTGAGTCCACCCACATGGACTGAGCTACTCCAGACTAATTCAGTTTTCCTTTTTCCGTTTTCCACACTTCCTCCTTTTGTCTGGGATAGCTTAGGGTAGAACCTTCTCTTCTTTTTCAGCTACAGCAATTATTTAAGGTCTATRTTTGCATGGCTTAGCAGAGCATGTCTTTTTATTACTCAGGGTCATCATCAGAAATAAGTGAAAGGTGCTGCTGGCTGAGTGACCCTTCAGAGTTGTCACTCASTGGGAAGTGACAGTGCCCCTATTGACAGCCACTTACAGAATATTTTTATCTGTCCTTCTAGTCCTCTGTGGCTGCACGTATGTTTCAGTGGCACAAATTTGTACCTTTTTTTTTTCCAAGCTCCAGCTGTCTAGCTGTCCTGTTTACTTGGTGTAGGGTTCAGTACAGACATAAGGTAGTGCAAAGTTAGCAAACCCCAGGTTTATGCTGCTATCAAACCTGGTTTTATAATGTAACTTTCTTCCAGGAAGTCTCTCTAGTTTTACACAGTTTTGTCCCTTTCTGTTGTGTGAAACCAGATCATGTAAGACCTTTCATAAGGAGACAGCAGCTGCATAACCTTTATAAACTACATTTTTAGACAGGCATAAAGGTGCAGGGCAGTTACACACAGCTCAACCTTGCAGTGACTGTGTTTGTCAAAATGTGCCTCCCCACCTGCTTATATTCATCAGTCCTTTGTCTTGAAGTTTGGAGACTTTGTGTTTTGAGGGATGAGACTATGAATTTCTCTTATGATAGAATTGATCAGTGTAGATGTTTTCTTAGAGTGTCATCCTTAATGGGGTCACTCTACTGAAAGAGACTGCATTCAGCTTTCTGATGTGGACCCTGTTTCCAGATTTATTTACTGGGACTTTGGCAAAGAATAAATTCATACTTATTGTGGATTTTAGGAAAGTTAGGTCTGTGGAAGAAAATCTCTTTGTTGTTAAAGGTGAAAGTCTATAAAAGAGGCCACAAAACCAAACAAAACAATTCTYTGAGAATATGATATATTACCCTTTTTGTTTGATATGCCAATACTTGATTTTGATTTGATGCAGGTCATTTGTAGGTCCAATTCTGGGAGGATTTCTATATGAAAAGCTGGGTTTTGAATGGGCTGCAGCCATCCAAGGAGGATGGCCACTGATAAGTGTAAGTAACTACACTTCCTTTTTTAATATCTATTGCAGTTATGAGCTACTGCTTAAGGTTGTTATAATTACTACAGTTGTAACTGGCTGTTTCCTCAAAGGGTCTTACAACTGGAATATTTTTTACCATTGAGGCAACAAGGAGAAGGTATGCTGATATATTTATTCTTTATTTTACTTGTAATCATATAAAGCAAACCTTTGAAATCTGCGCTTGCATTTTTTTCTCATTACCAACCTAATAATGAATGATAAGCAAAGATGAGCAAAAAAAATACTGCTTAAATAATTTGTCCGTATGATTTCCTAAATCTCTACTGACCTAAATGGACAACCAAACCAGGCAGTGCCTGTTCTATACAAGCAGCAGGACTGTGGCATTAATGAGCAAGCCCTACTGATGGTTCCTCCAGGAGGGTGTCTGTGAGCTGGGATTGGTTGGGTGCTCACATGCAGAGAGCAGTGGTCARTGGTTCAATGTSCAGCTACAGACCAGTGATGAGTGGTGTCCCTCAGGGGTCTGCCCTGGGACCAGCAATGTTCAGTATCCTACCAACAACATAGATAACAGAWTGAATGCACCTCAGTGGATTTTCAGATGACTCCAAGCTGAGTGGCTGACATACTTGAAGGATGGGATGTCATTCAGAGGGACTTGGATAATCATGAGGGTGATTTTTCCCCTCTACTCCACTTTTGTGAGACCCCACCTGGAATACTGCATCCAGCACTGTGGCCCTCAGCACAAGAAAGATGTGGACTTGTTGGAGCAGGTCCAGAGGAGAACCACCAAAATTATCAAAAGCATGGAACATCTCTTCTATGAGGAAAGGCTGAGAGAGTTGAAGTTACTCAGCCAGGGAGAGCTTGCTGTAATTTTTCCATAATTAAAGGGTGCTTACAAGAAAARTGGGGGCAAAGTTTTTAGTAGAGCCTGTAGCAATGGGACAAGAGGTAATTGTTTTAAACTAAAAGAAGGTAGATTTAGACTAGATAGGAGAAAAAAATTTTTACTATGAGGGTTGTGAAACACTGGACCAGGTTGCCCAGAGAGGTAGTGGATGCYTCATTCCTGGAAACATTCAGGCCCAGGTTGGACACAGATCTGAGCAATTTGGTCTAGTTTGAGATGTTCCTACCCAAGGCAGGGAAATTGGACTAGCTGACCTTTTMAGGTCCCTTTCAATCTGATCGTGGGAATGAATACTACATAGTTCTGTGCAGTAGTAGGGAACCAAATCCATAATCCATGTAGCTCTTTGCATGTAATATGCCTTTTTCCTTGTAATGTTGGTAACCCATAGAAGTATATAGAGAATATCAAACCTGTGTCTTCTCTCCTGTTCTTTTCCTTATGCAAACAGTTCCAGTTCCAGCCTGCAAAATCCTCCTGGGGATRATGAAGAAAGGACTCATCTAATTGGCAATGAAACATAGCCAGACATATTTCCAATTCTCCGTTTGCTACTGTGGTTTAACCTAGTATTGAGGTGATGGACTAAACAGTGCTTCATTATTCTGGAGCTGGGACATGATCCCTCAGTGAAGAACCAGTTGTGGTTTTGTTGTAGAGGCATTACTGTTTTGAAACACTAAACACTGACTGCCTTTCTTTTGGAAGTTTTCATAAGTGATGAGTAACCCTCAKCTGTCAGCCTGTTTAATTGTGCTCCATGTACAGTGCACTACTGTATGTGAAAAGAAGTGGTTTCTATACTTGTGTGTTCTGTGCATTATTCTTGGGTAAAGCCACTATTTTGCTATGACTTTTTAAAAGGAAGTTCATTATCTTGTAATACTTTGATAACATAGAATCTTGAAACAGAGTTTGAAATTATAAAGGACTAAGCACAATATTGTTTTCAATAAAGCAACTTTTTTCCTATGTTTTGTAAATCTTCTTAGACAACAAGAGTATAAAATACTTCTTGTCTACCAGTATTATCTTGAGAGTGCCTGAAAATAAGAGGCAAAAGTAATGAAAAGTTGCCATGTCTACACAGAACCAACTGATCTTCAGTCCTGRAGGAGACTTGGACTCTTGTGTATACATTGGTGTACATACACAGATAAATGTATGTTTGTATTATGTGTGAAGACTCAGCTCACTGATTGTGAGATTTATCTTGCTAATAAATGCTAGCTGGAATGTTTGTACTAATTGCTTCTGCAACAGCAAATCTATCACGAGTCTAGGACTGCTGTGGGAAAAGAATACTTTTCCTCACCTCTTCCAGATGCTCTGCTAAAGAAACTCAAGAGGGACTGAGACAATGCCTGGACATACCTGACTTCTTGACCTTGGTTGTGACAAAGGTCTTTTAATTTGTCCTTGAGCCCATAACTGGGTTCTAGAAGGGGTTCTCTGTTGTACCCTTTTCCCATAAATAAGAAAAGGGATCTGTCTTTTCCAATCAGTTTCTCTTTTGAGTAGCTACTGGATATTGCATAAGAGATACTTCTTTCTCTACCAGAGCTCTTTTGCACTAGCAAGAGCAACTGCTCTGGTAGCCAGCTGAGCTGTGAAACTAGGGTACCAAAGGACCGGCTTCCCCGTGGAATATCTTGTTAACAGTGTCCTTTCTTTTTTGTATCAGGTATCACACTTTACAGAAATCAGGAATGTACACTTCAGCTTATTAGGAAATGCTGACCATGGCAGTGCTGATGATGAGCCAGGTGAGAAGGAGCTGAGAGGACTAGAGCTGGATGCAAGGTGCACAAGATACAGATCTGTAGACATGAGACTTAATTTTAATTATCTCATTTTGAGCAATGACTTGTTCACTTACCTGATGTGTACTGTGAGGACTTGAGAGGGGTCAGGATTACCAGAAAGAGCACAAACGTCATTGAAATTAATTACCTGTCCTGCAACGTGTGAACTTTATTAGACTGCAGGTAGAAACAAAACAGGCTTAGCCAACCCCTCTAACAGAGCAGTGGGGTCTTCTGTGGGAAGCTAAGCCACACCCTGGCTAGTGCTGGGCTTGTCTCGTGCAGTGGCAGGTCTAAATACACACCTGCCATTACAGACACAGCTGTTGAAGCTGTGAGGAGCAGAGACTGTGCCAGGTACAATCGGCTGGACCAGGGCAGCCCTGAGCAGGAGCCCATGTGGCAGCACTGAGCTTAGGATCATCTGCCTCCAGCAGGCAGGGCTGTGCCCTTAGGCTTGGGCAGTGCTGGTCTCTGCTGAAATTCTCCAAGCTTGTTTTCCTGCTGTGACCCAGGCTTGCCTTGAGTTGTGTTGCTAAAGCAATGCCACGCCTGGCTCATTTGCAGGTCTGGCAGGTGATGCATTCCTTTGGCTGCAGCACTTCGGATACTTCCCTGTGTAAGGCAGAATTGCTCAATGCTAGCTGCTCTCTTCCCTGTGATACTGTGAGACTTTCCAGGCAAGATGATTTTATCTCTGGGTGTCAGCTTTCTGCCACCCTGGGGAATTCCCAGGTTGGTGCAAGACCTGCTTTCCTCTTTTTAAAGCCCCCAGCCTTTGCCTGCCTGCAGCCTCCTCTTGGGTGACTTCCAGGCTCCAGACATGGGGCTTCCTAAAGTTTGTGCCTCTGCTGTGCTTTTGGTGCTGTCTGCTCTGGGGGCCTGTGCCCTGGACACCTATGTTGCAGCTGTGTATGAGCACAACGTCGTCTTGTCAGAGGACACTGAAGTGCCAGTATCTCCTGAGGAGGCCTTGATGCTGATGGAGAAAAATATTGCAATTTTGGAAGTGGCCATCAAGGAAGCAGCCAGACAGGTATTATGATCTTGTTAGAGACATTTGTTTGAGTAAACAGTGACCATTTGTTACTGTCTTAATGGTGTTTGTATGTTGGTACCAGGGTGCCCATATCATTGTGACTCCAGAAGATGGCATTTAYGGATGGGCCTTCACAAGGGAGACAATATACCCTTACCTTGAGGATATCCCAGACCCWCAGGTGGACTGGATTCCGTGTGCTGATCCTGGAAGGTATCATCCCTGTTATACATGGGGGAGCAGTCTGAAGGGAAGGACAGCTAGGAGTGGTTCTTGATGGTTTTAAATGTCTTGGAACAAGTTCTGTGAAATGAAGCCAAGTTAAGGCATCATGTAGTTGCCATAAATAGTTTCAGACAACTTCCTTCATAATTTTTCTCTGCCATTTTTTCTCACTGTAATTCTTTTTATTTCAGTTAGTGTACCAGGAAGGTTGAATTGTACTTAATAGAAAAATAAATGCACATAATCTACATTTCAGTAAGGTATTCTATGCATGTTGTAGAAAATGTTTAAGATACAGAATTATTAGGAATATTTGTGAATAAAATAGCAGCTACTGCTGAAAGAATATACTGCACAATTTAAAACTTGCATKTTTGAATCGTTATATGGTAGCCTTTTTATTCTGTTATTTTCCTTCAMAAATTGCACCACTTTTTGAAGCTGCAGTAGACAGGTGACAAAACACACCATAGAAGAAGCAAATCCTAAGCTGCCTCAGCACATCAGCCACATGGAGAGTTGGAGTAGAGTGGCTGAGATAAGCCCATGTGTGGGTGTAACTTCAATGCTGTGCCACATGCTAGCTGTAGTCTTAACTGGAATTTTTTTTTGACTGAATGGTTTTGATGTTTTACTTCTTCCTTCCCTGCTGATTAGATTTGCTCCCTCACCCGTGCTTGAAAGACTGAGCTGTCTGGCAAGGAATAACTCCATCTATGTGGTTGCAAATATGGGAGACAAGAAAGCATGTAATTCCAGTGATCCGAMGTGCCCAAGTGATGGCCGCTATCAGTACAATACCAACGTAGTCTTTGACTCAGAAGGGAAACTGGTGGCTCGTTATCACAAGGTGAGAGAATTTTACCATGTTCAGTAAGTGCATGATTCTCAGRAGATTAAAGATGTGAAACTGAAGCTGCTTAAATGTATTTCTACACAGTCGTAACAGACCAAGTGTCAGAGGGCAGGTGGAAGCCACTGCCACTATTGTGAATTTAAAAGCAAGTAATTAAATGAGAAGTAAAGCTTAATAAACCCTCTGTTTTTACTACATCTCAATAGAAAGTGAYGCATAAGATATTTAAACCTTAACATTCTAAATAAACTCTTCCTAAATAAATACAAATCCCCTTTACTGGTGTATATCAGAAGCTCCARCTATTTGTGGTTGACTTATYGGTGTGGTGTGAGTTCTCCTATTTGAAATTAACRTATAGCACATTCACAAAAYATATTCTCTATTAYKTGTATTTATGTGAAYRATTCAGTGTTCATTTAACTTGAATGGTTTGATTTATTTTCTAATATTCTATTTTCTCCATTCTTTTTTTCTTTTTCATGAGCAGTACAACCTTTTTGTGACAGAGAAACAGTTTAATTACCCCAAGGATCCAGGATTTGTGACCTTCAATACATCCTTTGGCTCTTTTGGCATTTTCACTTGTGCAGACATACTCTACCACGACCCCGCCGTGGTCTTGGCAAGCAGACATCAGGTTGACACCATTCTGTTCCCAACTGCTTGGGTGAACACCCTCCCWCTGTTGTCAGCAGTCCAGTTTCACTCAGCATGGGCCATGGGGATGGGCGTCAACTTCCTTTCAGCAAACACACACAACTGCACGTTAGAGATGACAGGTAACATAATAGTGCTCTAACTGATCTCATTCACATGTGCAACACTTCTGTCTGTGTAGGGCAGCAATTCCATCAGCTTTCAGCATGCATACTCATGTTAACAGGATTAGGACAGGGAAACTTGTAAAGTTCTTGATATAAAGGAAATAAAAATGTGCTGTTTAAGAACTTGGAAATGCTTAAGTTGACTATAACACATCTAGTCACTTGTTAAATAATCAGTCCTGTCAGTTTATGAGTGTTACTCTTCATCTTCTGACCCTGGTGTTTATTGATGTTTTGGCCATGTGAAGACCCAAACTGTGTTTTGTCCACTAGATGGAACCCTAACTCTGAGAAATGTTCTTGTACGTTCTGCAAACCGTACTTACGGGCGGGAGACCTTGTGTCACATTTTCTTTGCAGGCTTTGTTTTCACTGTATATTTTTCCTGAGCAGATGCTAGAAGCCAAGAACAAATTTTGTGTGCATGTGTTTGCATAATTGAGAGAAACTTACTGCTAAAAGGTAGCTCTAAACTTTTCCATCCAAGTAAAAGAAGATGTGTGCCATTCCTTTAGTTCTCAGTTGCTGATGATCCTATGTCTTATAAATCATATTCATGAACAGGTTTTACTCTGGGCTTTAAMGATTTCTCTATTTATGTTAAGTGCTTGCAAAAGATGTGATTTTGTAATATCTTTTCCTTACAGAACTTTTTTGATTTGACAGTGCTACCACCCATTTTAATCAGAATTACTGATTTCTAATGCAGTTAAACTCAAGGAAGAATGCAAAACTTCAGCCACTTAAATCATTTATTATCAGGACACTAATCTTGTCACTTACAGTATATGAAATATCAGAGTTTATTCTACTTTCCATTAATGGCAAAAAATTACTGGGTTAAGATTGTAGTCTATGAAGGCTCAGTTTCAAAACAGTCTGGTAAACRTTAGAATTAAATTTGGCACATATATAATTAGTGACCATGCTTACCTGTCCCATATATTTGCTTTCAGATTAGAAACTTTCTGTTGTTATATGTTTGCAGGGAGTGGTATTTATGCYCCAGATGGTCCAAGAGCATATTACTACAATACTGAAATGGATAATGGTCACCTTTTGGTGACGGAATTGAGCTCACGCCCACGTCTCTCTCCTGACTATCCTGCTGCTGTTAACTGGTCATTGTATGCCAGCCAGATCAAACAGCTTCCATCAAACAAACACTCTTTCAATGGGGTCGTTTACCACGATCTTTTCTCTTTTGTGGAGCTCACTGAATCCGAGGGCAATCGTGCCATTTGCCAGCAGGACCTCTGTTGCCATCTGAGTTATAAGATGGTAAAGAAACATCAAGATGAAATTTATGTYCTGGGTGCCTTTGATGGGTTACATGTTGTTGAAGGAGAGTATTATTTGCAGGTAAGAGGTTTTTGCTCTTATGTGATCTGTGAGAAGGTTGCAAGACTCTTTGCAGTCTGTTTTTATTTGCTTAATTTTTATTATGGGGTCATTTAAGACAAGGCCCCCCCTAAAAAACATTTGTTTTCTTCATGATGCATTTTGACTTCATTAGAGGTGTTAATCTGCTTTTCTGCATTAAAAATGATGGAAGTGTMGGCCCTGGGTTGACCCTATGCTGTAACACTCTTGAGGGTGAGGTCACCCAGCAGTTTTGGCAAGGACAAGATAGGTATGTTTGCTTCTCTGTGCTGATTGYAATTTCTGCAACACATTTTACAGAAGTTGCTCTTCAGGTTTTGCAGGTTGTAGRTTTGGCAGGATTTATTGCTGAGGGGAGACCTTATTGCTCCCTACAACTACCTGAAAGGAGGTTGTGGCAAGGTGGAGGTTGAGTCAATCCCTTCTCCCAAGTGACAGGACTTGAGGAATTGGCCTCAGGTTGTGGCAGGGGAGGTTTAGATTGGTTACTGGTAAAAATATCTTCACTGAAAAGATTGTCAAGCATTGGAACAGGCTGTCCAGGGAAGTGGTTGAGTTACCATCCCTGAAGCATTTAAAGAATGTGTAGCTGTGGTGCTTAGGGACATGGTTTACTGGTTGGATTGGTGGTGCTGGGTAATGGTTGGACGTAATGATCTTAAAGATCTTTTCTAGCCTAAATGATCTTATGATTCTAAGGAGATTTCWGTATATGTATACGAAAAGAAGACAAGAATGTTAAGTTCCCCATGTCGTCACAGGGATGCTTTTGTCACAAGAGAGCTGTTTTCTGCTCAGTGGTTTGTACCATTGTGCTGATGATGTGGTRATTATCTACCATGTGGATATCTAACATAATTAAGAAACTAARTATGGACATACCATTTGTGTTCACTTGGCTTGTCAGTGTATTGATTCTTCAATATTTTGCTGCTGAGCTTTTTTTTAGTATGCAATAAATCTTCTCTATGTACATAGAAATATATAGAGAATTATATAGAGTGTGTAATAAATGCATAGAKGTATTGGATCATTCTTCCATCATGACAGCTTTTCTTGCTATCACGTGCAGCACTTGGTTGCTGAAAGCTTAGTGGTGTTTTGCCTTTCTGTCTCCTCCTCCCCACAGGTCTGCACGCTGCTCAAGTGCCTGAGCACAAACCTGAGCTCGTGTGGGCAGCCCGTGGAGATGGCTCAGACCGAGTTTGAGATGTTCTCCCTCAGTGGCACGTTTGGCACCAGCTACGTGTTCCCAGAAGTGCTGTACAGTGGGGTGCAGCTGGCCCCTGGGGAGTTTGAGGTAATGGTATACCCTTGTGAGTTGTCAGACATAAGTGGTCAAAAAGACACTACAAGACACAAAACAACTTGGTTGTTATCAGTGTCCTCTGCCTAGAGGCTGCCTCTGCAGCATTATTTCTGCCTGATTTTCCTGGTTGTATTCATACAGCAAGTCCAGCTTGCCAATTCACTTGTCTCTTCCCCCAAATCCTCTGGAACAAGATCTCCCTTCCGGACAGAAAGGCAGTTTTTCTCAGATTTCCTGGTAGCTCCAGTTGAGATTGGAGCTCTCTCAACTAGATCAATATTAATGAATGTATTATTTTGTGTTTCTCATACAGTACCATTCCTTTGATGATACTCCTGCTTGTTTTACTTTTTCACAACCAGGTGCTAACTGATGGACGTCTGATAAGTCGGACTACTACGTCAAAGCCAGTCTTGAGTGTAGCACTCTTTGGGAGGTGGTATGAAAAGGACCCTCCACACACAGCTCAAGCTTCACCGTGATTTCACTGCAGATCCTTTAAGATTTCATCTGCTTGTTTCTGTAATGCTAATTAATCACAAATAATCATAACAGTCATTAATACTAATATTTATAATTACAATAGCATTCTATTTCCCAAGTTGCCATATCTAATACCATAGTCAGTGGACATGGATTAATTGACTTGATTTTGCAGCAAAAATAAATACTCTGCKGGACTGTTGTATATGTGTTTTTGTATGATAGCTTTGGTTGGCACAGGCTTGGCCTTAGCACTGGGAACAATAGAAAATAAATTCCTCTGACTTTAATGGTGTAGGATTCAGGAACATAGCAGTGGGTTGTGCCCCAATAAAAAACAGTTCTTCATTATGTGAAATTTTTGGTGGAGTATTAGAAGCCATTTCCACAACACTGAACAAGCTGTTTGCTAAACTTAGATTAACAGAACCTTTGAAGATTCTTATTTCCTTTGWAAAAGAAACAAAGCCTCGAAATTGTTCCTTCAAAAACCAGTTATTCAGCTCAGCACACCATAATGTGTTATCATACCATGCCCTAACTCACTGTTGGAGGAGTCTAATTTTTCTGGCCACATTTTTAAGGTGTGGGAAATTTCCCTACTAGAGAACTGTTGATAACTGTTTGTATCAAAAATGCTCAAAACAAGCCATTTTTCAGGAGCATGTCTGTTTTCCCGTTGAATGGTTGCTCACACCAGTATGATGGAGAGTTGGGACARTGCCAGCAGGTGTTGGGTATGGCGAGTGAACAGCTGGAACAAGTGGGACACATTGGCACGTGTGCGGATGTGGGCCCTGCAGACTGTACTTCCTAGGCAAGTGGACTGGATTCTTTTGTGTGGCACAGCTAAGGTTTCTATATGCTGTTGTTTGTGCTGCAGGTTTTTTTGAATTAAAAATATTGTTTAAGAAGGCAATTTTTAGAAACAAGATTGAAGTCTGTAAAGGTATCAAACTGAAACCCTCTAAAATTCATATAGCAGAAGTAATGGGAAACATCCTACTGTTTGTGGAGGAAAAGTAGTGTATATTTAAATTTATATCTGCGCCCTAGGAAAAGGTGTCTTGTTACGGCATAAGTAACATAACTATGCGCTGTTGCCAGAAGCGACTGACTTCCTCACCCGTGCTCAATGTGCTCAGTGCTCGGCAGTGATTGCGTGGCTGCCGGAGTGACCTTTCACACAGCGCTCCTCGGCAAGGTTAACCCTTGGAATGCGCAGGAGTCTTCCACACGCTCTCCCTAAACACAAGAGAAGAAGCAGGACCACAGTCTGACGACAGAATGCCTCTACAGCTAAGCTGATTTAGCTCCAAATTGCATCTCTTTTCACAAAGTAAGTCCTCAGATAACTTTCACCATCAGGCAGGAGCAGAGATGGGGACGGTACAGGGGTGGGTTGGGAGGAGAGAGGTGTGGAAAGTAGGCGGACCTCTGGATRAGTTTCCCCTTACATTGTCCACAGCCAAGTAGAGCCCGGAGCACTGTAGTTTTGTTAAGTTTTTTTTCAGTGGATTTGTTTGTTTAGCCGGTGCTAGTTGCTTGTTCCCGGGCGAGCTCCCAGCTCTGCCGGAAGCAGACAGCGGCTGCCTGCTGGTACAGAGGCAAACATGGATAGCTCCACCCCACCTTTTSCCGGCAGTGGGACTTGAACTTGCAGGGCACTGCCCCAGTACTGCACTTGTCAATATTTCTGTCTGGCAGAAGTTCTGACTGCCAGGGCAGTCGCCTTTCTGGCTGATGTCCTCACTATTGCTGAGCAAAGGAGCATTTGCTACTTCCTCTGTTAAAGTGATGCCTGACTGGGATTAATGTGACTCAACCTGTATTTCATTTTGTAAAAATTAATGGGRTGGAGAGTGATGAAGGCTTCCAAGCTACATTAGTTCAAGTATCACWGAAATTTCTACTGCAGCCTTTAAAAGTCTTGTATTTAAGGCTACTGAATGAGCATGCTSTATCCAGTAATGTGTGTAGAGAAGTRCTTCGAGATGAACATCACCAGATATTAATCAATGTTCCCAATGATAGAAATCCTCAGTGAGCACTACTCTTGCAGAAAGCTCTGTGGTATCTTCATTCATGCYCAGTTTTGTGTTTCCTGAACCAACTCTACAGTGACAGTCTGCTGTAGCTGAAAGCAGACAGCCCTTCAGATAGCCTTTCTCCAATGAGAATACTGCAAATATGAGGAAGGCAAAAAATGGGAAACGTCATGGCAACAAATGGATTTGAAATGAGTTGAAGATTAAACGTGAAGGCCACTCAATGCACAGCATGCTCCTGCAGGGAAACAGGCGAGCTTCTGCACTTGGTGAAATGCACTGCTCTTCTGCTTTAGGCTAGTGAGAGCCAGTCAGTGAAGTACTTGCATGCCTTATTTCAAAGGCAAAATTCCATCCAGATTCATATTTTCTGGTGGAAGACTGTTGGAAAATGATGCACAGCTAAACAGAAGTGTCTGGGAGAGACACTGGTATGAACTCAAGGGACAGTTGTGTTGCTGCCATGTTAAGTGTATGACATCTAAGTACAGCAAAATGCTAATGCAATTTCTTTAGTCTAAAGAAACTCAGAAGCAAGCTGCATATACTGACACATAGCACAGGAATTGAGGAATAGGAAGATACTAAAATAAAAAGGTTTTTAAGACCCTGAGTTTTGCCACTCAAAATTTGCAGAAGGCTACGGGTGACGCATACACCTGGGTATCAGGGTTGAGCCCACACAGGTAGAAAAAGTCTGTTGTATCAGTAACAGAGAAAAGTATAACAGGTTTCTAAACATGTTTTTAATGACTTTTTTTACTAGCACAATTAGTATTGGCATTGCATTTTTGTTCATTGTGACATCCTTAGTGTAAACTGTTACACTTTCCTGTATGGTTCCAAGATAATGCTTTAACTGACCTGCAGTTCATTCCTCCCTCTTTCAAAGTTAAACTTTGTACCGCTTCTCTTTCCTGTGTGTGCTCCTTTTRCACTGTTTCTCCAGAGCACTCCAKGATCTGGGAGGCTGCAGCCATGCTCCCTTCCCAGGCTCTCCTGCCCGCTGTGGTGTTTGCACTCGCAGCCCTCCAGGCCCTTGCSTCCGACACCTTCCTGGCAGCCGTGTACGAGCACGCCGTCATCCTGCCACAGCTCACACATGAGCCCGTCTCTCACAGCGATGCTTTGGCCCTGATGAACAAAAACATGGMTGTCTTGGAAGGGGCCATCAAGGAAGCCGCCCAGAAGGTACGAGGGGCATCGTGAGGGTKGTCCATCAGTGTTTGCTGCTCCTGCTGACCCTCCTGGCTGTGTGTCGATGGGTGAGCTTTAAACAGAGCCTGTTGTGACAGGGTGCCCGCATCATTGTGACTCCTGAAGATGGCRTCTATGGGTGGCTGTTCACAAGAGAATCCATCTACCCCTACCTGGAGGACATCCCTGATCCWGTGGTGGATTGGATTCCYTGCACAGACCCCTCAAGGTGATTCCTTCTGCAATGGTTTGTGTGATTTCAAACTATTTTCTCATTACATCATGAGCAGCTCACACTCAATGACTAAGAGCTGCTAATTAATGTCTCTCATATATGTTTAAATTAAAATTGAGTATGGAGACAGTTACATTGTTAAAGCTATTGTATATCCATGACTAATTGATGAGGGAAATGTAATTTTTTTATTAGATCTTAAAGGAGAAATTCAAGCAACATAGAGAATTTGGGTTACTAAAAGTTGAGGAAAAGTCTTTTTTCCTCTTGGAAAAGTTCTGATGCCAGAATGCTTCTCATTCTGCTTTCATTTTTTTTCACAGTATTTTGAATAGAACTGACTGTAAATGAATATCACTTGTTTTTCTCTGTTTTCTTGTTATGTTTGTGTTTCACAAATGCTATGTTGAGATAAGAGTACACATGCTGCTTTTGTGGACAGCCAAGAACTAGTTTCTCAGCAGCTAATAAGAAGTGATGATGTCAGTAGTTAAAGTCCAAACTTCTAAATGATAAAAACCCAGAAACTTTTAATCTTAGTTTTCCAAGATTAAGGTAAGATAAAGTCAGAATTGCTAGAGTCTGTGTGCTGTAGAACATGATCTGTCATTCAAGCAGCATATCCTAGCAGTGACAGACTGCTGTAGTTGAGCAATGGACTTCAGACTCTTACAGCAGGCAGTAAGTGTTCAGCCATGGAATTACAACGTGGTCTGCCCTTTTCACCACAGCTTTTGCACCTGCTTGATGAGATGAAACTTAGAGCATGTTATTACATCTGTGAGGATATAGTAACTCAGTGTTTCCAAGACAGTGCCAATGGGGAGTAGAACAGGATGTGCAAACTTTTCCTGAGATATAAGTAGCTGACATACAGTCTTTCATTGAAGGTGGAGTGTGGGGCAGCAGTGTGTCTAAGCAGGTCTTCATTCTAGTGCATCACACAGTTTTCACACATCTGTGTGTCTCCTCACTGTTCTAAATCAGGGGTTTCACTAAATCAGGGCTTCTGGGAGTATAACACCTGCCATCAGTGTCTGGCATGCTGTATTCCTTGGTGCTGTACATGTGTCTTGTGTGGTGATCCTCCTTGTGTGGTCCTAGCACACCTTGCAAAGCCACAAAAATTGCCTCATTACAGAGGGGGAGGGCTGCTCTGTTTATGGCCTACTGTGGGTGCTTCAAAGKTGCTGCCAGTTTTTGGCACATGGATCCTGTCATATCTTGAAATTGATAGCCCATTGCTCTTCATGCCATGACTACAGGTCTGTGTGCTCCTGACCATGGGTGGAAATGAATTGAGGAATTACCTTGATCATATTATCTGCGCTATTCACAGCTCAACTCTGCTTAGTGTGTTAAGGGCCCAGAGCAGTTGTCAGTATGCCTGATGCCAAAATTCTTGCTCATGTGACACCAAGCTGGTGTCTTCCTCTGCCCAGAGATTGCTCTCCTGCCCTTTCCCAGACTGAGGATTTGTTTACTGCAGAGCAAGTTCCAGGTGCTGAAGGAGACTGGCACCCCTGTCCCTGCAGAGGCCAATGGGATGTCTCCAGGACCTACTCTAAGGTGCAGGAAGCAATCTGAGGAAGCAGCTGTGTGTGTCTGTCTGTCCTGCCATGGCTGCAGCATGGTGTGACCTCAAGCACTCCGGAAATGGACACCGCTGACAGCACAGGTTTTGTTAATTTTATTTTCTCCTTCCCTAAAATACATTAGATTTGGTCCAGCACCAGTKCAGGARCGACTCAGCTGCATGGCCAGAAATAACTCCATCTATGTGGTTGCAAATATCGGGGACAAGAAGCCGTGTAACTCCAGTGACCCCGAGTGCCCCAGTGATGGTCGCTACCAGTACAATACGGATGTCGTCTTTGAYCCASAGGGGAAACTGGTAGCTCGTTACCACAAGGTAAAATGGCCTTGGAGAGGCAGCAACTAATTTTAAATGTCTCCATTTGGGAAGAGAATTAGATGCCAGTCATTGTCCCCTGTCAGAGTGTTGCTTCTCTTTATAATTTAAAAAATATCTCTCTTACCATGAAGCATTGATACTAAATTTGCATTTAGTATCACGTTTCTCAAAAAAGTGACTGGAATGAAAAATGATTGCTCTGGTGCAATTTAATGACATATGATTGTGCTCAACTTCCTCAGTTCATTAACTCGCTACTGCTGGAAATTCTGCTGCTTGAGCAGCTTCAGTTTCCAGTGCCAGCTTTTCACCAGACTACCCCTTCATGTTCCAGGATCTGAAAATGATAATCTGTATTTCATTATAGATCAGCAATCTGATTTCAGAGAGGCAGGACCTTTTTTTTTCTGAGGCTGTTTTGGCACAGTTTTTGCAGAATGGGAATTATTTGGATAAAATGATGGACCTAATATGGGTGTAAAAAGAGATAAGGTCATTGAAGTATTTGCACCCAATGAAAGTTCTTCTTTCAGTTTTAAGTGCCTACCTGAAAGTTCCTTCAAAGCTGTTTATAACATGTGTTAGATATCATGCCAAGGTGGCTAGAGTGATTTCAGATTATTTAATGCACTTTGGGCCCAGTATTTCATCTGGTTGTTCAGAGGCGATGCCAAGATATCTATTTGTGAGCAAACGGGGTGAGTGGAACACTCATAATGCAAGTATGTCCCCCACGTGCCAGCCTGGCATGGTCCAGGTGCTGAATTACAAGTAAAATTAAACCTCTTTTCTGGCTTGGTGTCCATGTTTACTTCCAGACCAACTGGACATTAATAAAGGACTCTTTAACATGTATGTGAAGGAAGAAGTTTTTCTGTTGGCTGAGATCATCTGCCTTTCCCCCATCAGCACAGTTTGTGTTCTCTACTCTGCAATGTGCTTTGTACTATCTTGTGCTTTGTGCTGGTGCTCTGTACTTCCAGTGCTTCTGAGCATCTCCACAYCAAGATCACCAACTTTGCCTCTTGGCACCAGATCCTCCATGTTTCTCTTRCATTACAATTTCTCTTCTGGGTCACCAGAGACATAAACTGGGTGGGGGGAGTGGAGAGATTATTTTTATGTGGATAACGCCAACAGATCTGAAGACAGTCGGCTGCTTTCCTTGCTAGATTCCAGGGCAATATGTAATATATGTTCCACATTTTGGGTACTATGATCATACAATTTTAGCATGATTTCCTGACTGTGAGGGCTTCCAACACAGGTAAAAAATTTTSTCTATTCATTCTGAACAGCTTTAGGAAATGTCTCCAGGATATTGCAGTAAGTGCCTCTAATTGGTTTCACTATTTTCTTTCCCCTGCAGTATAATCTCTTTGTAACAGAAAGACAGTTTAATTACCCAAAAGAAGCAGAATTCGTYACCTTTGAGACTCCTTTTGGGAAGTTTGGCATTTTCACTTGCTTCGACATCCTTTTCCATGACCCTGCCGTGGTCCTGGTSAGCAAGATGCAGGTGGACACCGTGCTCTTCCCGACAGCTTGGATGAATTTCCTGCCTTTTCTSACTGCAATYGAGTTTCACTCTGCCTGGGCTATGGGCATGCGTGTCAATGTTTTAGCTGCCAATACTCACAACAACAGCATGGAAATGACAGGTAATTTAATTCTTACTCTGTCTAAAAATCTTTATAACCAGGAATCTCTTATTCCCTGTCCTACAAAGTGATTTTGCAGAGGAATATAATGTGTTTTTCTGGAAGGTGATGAGAGATTTTAAACCTGATGGATCCTGTACTTATCAGTTTCACACAAGACACAGCAAAACTTGTAGTGTTTTGTTTGCTCTAGCTTCTTAGGATTATCCTTCTTTTGATGGTTCTAAATAAGTAGTAGATTATTGCCCTTATACCTGAATAAAATGTTTTTAAGCTTTTAAGGTTCTTTTCATCTCCATTTCTGAGTCTTCAATTGAATACCAAACTGTAAATAGACTTGTAAACCATACACAGAGCTACATTTATTCTGACCAAATGCCAATGTCTTTTGTAGCTGTATTTAATACTGTTATGGAAAACCATTAAAAACAGACTTTCAAGCCTGTTGCAGTAACGCTGCTAAGAAGTCTACATCTTTATTTTGGAATGTAGCACTGGTTTTTGAGGAATCAGTTTATGAAGCAGTGTATTTCAGTTAGGTCAGTATCTTCACTGAGCTGTGCAACCACGTCTTGTGCTGTCTTATGACTGCTCATTTGAAGTGYCTGAAAGGCTTCTGCKTGCTGTCCCTTTTATGTGGCTTTTYAGCAGTGATGGGTATGACAGATCTTTGATTTCCTTCTGTTGCTTTGCTCTGGTCAGATGTGAATTCCATATATAGGGAAGAGTTTTCCACCAGTGTAAAAGGGGCTGGACAATTGCTCTCTCCTTCTGTGTTCACCAGGGCAGGTCTGTGATACTTGCCTGTGTTGTGTTTYGGATCATCTGAATCAATAGATGGTCCTTTCACATCAATCAGCCAGGAATAAAGGAATTATCAGCTCTCTTGCATACAGGAGAAGAGAACTGAGGAAGCCATAACATAACAAACCAAACATCCTCAGCCTTTGGCTGATACTGAACAGATGTCATCTAAGGGAATAAATGCTATTCTTTGCCAAATCATGAGCTCTGTGTACTGAGTTGCTAATGGYCACGTTTGGTGAGACTAAAATCTCTGTAATCTATGTAGAATAGTGGATAAACTATCAGTCGAGACACTTAGAAGGACAAWATGATTTTGTAAATTCTTCTTGGACTGACTATTGAACTGTCCTCAGGGAGTGGCATTTATTCACCGGCTGGAGCCCGAGCATACTTCTACAACATGGAAACTGAAGATGGTCGCCTCCTCATTGCTGAGCTAGATGTACACCCTCGTCTTTCTCCTGCCACCCCTCCTGCTGTCACCTGGAATTCGTATGCTTTGAGTGTTRAAAGGCTCTCACAGAATGACCATGAATTCTCAGGAATCATCTTTGAAGATCACTTTACTTTCACTGAGCTCACTAAACCTGAGGGGAATCTTACTCTCTGCCAAAAAGACCTCTGCTGTCATTTGAGCTACAAGATGACAGAGAAAAGAGTTGATGAAGTTTATGTGCTGGGTGTTTTTGATGGCCTTCATGTTGTTGAAGGACAGTACTATATGCAGGTAATTCTTTGGAGGGGGTTACTTTAGGAAGCCTATTTAYAGGGAGAAGTGTTCAGCTCTGTGGTGGAAAAATAGATGACAATGACTCTTCTGTGCTGGAATCCTAGTGTCCTCTGTGATAGCAATGGAAAGGAGTAGCTAAAACTTCCAAGGCTACTTGCCTTCAAATCCAACAAATTTAAACCTCTTTTAAATTCCCAGAGTGCACTCACTATTTTTYGGGTGTGCAATATTGGCTAAATTTAGGTTCTCTTCTGTGAATGTCTTCAGTAGGTGTTCTGAATCTCCTCTGTATCACAGAATCACAGTATTGTTAGGGTTGGAAGGGACTTCTGGAGATCACATAATCCAGCCCCCCTGCCAAGGTAGGATCACCTAGAGCAGGTGACACAGGAACATGTCCAAGTGGGTTCTGAATGTCTCTGGAGAGGGAGACTCCATGACTTCCCTGGGCAGCTTCTTCCAGTGCTCTGCCACCCTAAATGTAAAACTATTCTTCCTCATGTTGAGCTGAAACTTCTTGTGTTTTTATGTCCATTACTCCTCATCCTGTCACTGRGCATCACTGAAAAGAGACTGGCACCACCCTCTTGGCACACATCTTTGAGATATTTGTATATATTGATGAGATCCCCTCTCGTCTTCTCCAGCCCAAAGAGGCCCAGCTCCCTCAGTTTCTCCTAATTAAAGAGATGTCCAGACTCCTCATCATCTTTGTGGTCTCCACTGGACCCTCTCTGGTAGCTCCTTGTCTCTCTTGTGCTGAGGAGCCCAGAACTGTTCACAGCACTCCAGATGTAGTCTCACTGTATCTACATCAAAGCATTCCTGTTACAAATCAGTTGATCATCGCTGTCTTTATGAGATGCTCTAAKAAGTTAGTCAGAGAATTTAATTTTTAGTCATTATCCAAATCATTGCAATGAATCTTACTTAAATGGCTTATGACTTTTAGTGGAAATATCCTCTCTAATTGTCTTTTAATCAAATATTTGGGAAGACAGTGAGTTACATCCTGGTTGAATTTGCTTAAAGCCATATTTGAAAATGTTCATTGCTTTCATAATTAAGTTATTGTGAGAGCAMTACTTTGTTTTTAGTTTCTTCTGTCTGTCAGCACAGCCTTTGCATRCCAGCTGGTGCAGACTCCAGGATATGAGTGGAGGTCTTGTCCAGCAAACAGTTCATCTGATGCTTTTAGAAAGGTATCTTGAATAAGTTCAGTTCTTGGTGAGCTTGCTTGTAAAATTCATTTCAATAGTTGTGGAAGGTGCCACAGAGAGAGTCTGCCAGCACTGAAAGTTCTAGAGAGGGCAGGAATTTCTGCTCTTCCTTTTTTCCTCAGTATGTTTTCATTTCCTCAGAATATAATCCTTATTTCTCTGCTTACTTGCATTTCAACACAAAACTATATTTGGTGATGAATAATACTTCTGATTTTTTGCAAATATGCTTCTATTCCTCAATACCAGATAAAYAGAAAATCTCCATCACCTATCAGCAAATCCAGCCAACRTCCTTCAAATCMTTCCTGAATCAAAGGAGTGCTAGCYCYATTTCATATTTCCTCATGAAGAYCATAAGCATTTATCAGCTGGATAATTAACTCTTGGGACAAAAGGGAAACAGAATTGTGATTCCTGTTTTTCTCTCTGTGTTGCAACTACTAACATAAAATTGTAACAAAAGATGCTAACTTCATCTCCTTGGCCTGTATTAACTAGGATTTGTGCAGGGAACATCAGATTCAGACTTCCCACGGACTACCAGGACATCTAATGAAGTGTCATTAGCAACATGTGCCAGTATCAGTTAGAGGACCTGAGTTTACACTTGTACAATGTACCTATGAGGACAACTTTGTTTCACTTGCCTAAAATTTCCATTCACCAACTTATCTTACTAAGACATGTGGGCAAGAAACCTTCCAGTAAAACAGCTGGCAATTGGAAGAGTTAGTGGAAGGGAYAGGATTGGGCTTCAGAGATGAAATAAGGTGCTCTGGCTGCACTTAAATCAGAGACAATATATTTATACATTTATAAGAATAAGGCAATACAAGTCTGGAATACTCCCGATCAGATCAAGGGATGCAAAAATAAGTTGCAGCTAAAAAGGAGTGGCCCAAGGATTATGAAAARGATCCTGTGACTCTCACCTGCTCTKMCACACATTAGCTTTGATGACACAAAGCTTTCCTACCAGTGTCTCTGTCTTGCTAAATACATTGTTGTCTCCTCCTCCCCACAGGTCTGCRCGCTGCTCAAGTGCCTGAGCACAAACCTGAGCACGTGTGGGGACTCCGTGGAGACGGCTCAGACCAAGTTTGAGATGTTCTCCCTCAGTGGCACGTTTGGCACCAGCTAYGTGTTCCCAGAAGTGCTGTACAGCGGGGTGCAGCTGGCCCCTGGGGAGTTTGAGGTAATGGGAYRCCCTRGAGCTGTGTCATGCTAGGTCCTCTGCAGGATAGCAGTGGAATAAACTGTCTCAAAACAGCCAAAATGAACTTGCTCATAGTGATTAATCAGACCTATTAAATACCTTTCAATGAAGTCACTAGTTTCAGTAAGAGATACAGCCTGATGTACCTTCTTCCTGTTTTGTCTGAGCTCGTGATGTGTTCATATGGGTACTCCTCTAATAACCTCCTTGTTTCACCTTTTTCAATCAGGTCCTGAGTGATGGGCGCTTGATGAGTAAGACCAAACCAACTAAACCAATCATTGCTGTGGCGCTTTTTGGACGGTTTTATGAAAGGGATCATGAGAAACAAGACCCACAACCAACAGACCCKCCCCATGATATGCCCATAACTGAAGCTCTACACGGTTAATCTTATGTCCAGATGAGATACAGCTTTGTCTACTACAACAATCCCAGTTATGTTTCTTATTTCCAGTTGCACRATCTTCTCATCAATGGGTTTGGTTTAGTAATAATGCAGCAATATTATTGCTACCATTTATTGAAAGAATCTATTTCTRTATCATAAATTACTAATTTTTGTAAGTGCAAAAGAGCACTTGTTTGTCTCTGCTTGCTGGATTTTAATTTTTCTAACCCTCAGAAAACCTAAAGTTCAGAGTATGCATTCTTATTAAAACAGCATTGCATATTTTTTTTTTTTCATTAAAAATTATTATGGCATCAGCAAATAAAACAGTGGAAGAGGTGATTTGTGGCAGCTTTATACACATGCTCAGCATTTCTTTGTCTCTTGAATTAACTTGTTCTGACCTATGCCAGTCTTCCCTTTTACCCCAATTAGATATTTTTTTTTCTTATTTGTGTTGCTTTGGTTTTATATCCTTTATGTCATTGGTGCGTATCATGAAGGAAATGGCCGCACAGTGCGCACGGAAGCTGAACAAGAACTCCAGTCAAAGAGTCTGTCCTGAAATAAAAACTGCCACCACTTTTTGGTCAGAATATGATTTGARTCATTATTCCTTTGAAAACTCTGTTGAAACAAAACTTGGAATTGAGACCTCAAATTATTCTGGTTGTCAGTTCTGAAAAACAGCCTRATGATACCTCCTGACTGCAGTGGGTGCTATTTGGTGATGGAGCTGTTACTGCAACCAGTAAACAAGTCACTGAGTGACCTGGTATCTCACAGCAGCTCCTCCCTCCCATCATCTCTGTTTCTTTCTAGTCATGTGATGACAACATATGTGAAATAAGCCTTGCCCTTTGCTCCTTCCTGTTGATGCTGGGTGGTGYTGCCCTGCAGATGAATTTGCTATAGGGATTAGGGGATTTAGAATAGTATTTCAGACCGGCTAGTCCTGGTGAGATGACACTATTATGTTTTTGCATCCTCTTCTCCCCAGTGGCCTGTGTTTTGTTGCTGCTGCTGGACCTTAGTGACTTTCTTTCAGCACATCAATGTAAAAAAATGTGTGTGTTCTGTGGCTGCAAACTTAAGAGTGGTCAGAGATCTCTGTCAGTCTGATTTCTCCTTCCTTTTCCCCCCACTGGTTCTATTCTTGGTCTCACCATAGAATCAAAGAATCATCAGACTTGGAAGAAGCCTTTGGGATCATCCAGTCCAATTATAAATTTGGCATTGTCACTGTAACCTCTAAGCCCCCAAACTACTGCAGTGCCAGATCCAGACCCCTCTTAAACATCTCTGKGACTTCACCACCTCCTGCACAACCTATTCCAATGCCTGACCACCTGAACAGAGCAAAATTTCTAATATATATGCTAAATCTCTCCTGTCTCATATTAAGGACATTTYCTCTGGTCCTCTCACTGTGGGCACAGCAGGAGAGACAGACACTCACCCCACTGCAACTTCCTTTCAGGGAAATATAGAGAGTGATGAGGTCCCCCCTGAGCTTCCWCTTCTCCAGACTRAACAAGCCCAGCTCCCTCAGCTGTTTCTTGTAATACATGTTTTCTAGACTTTTCACAAGCCTTGTTGTCCTTATCTGGACAGGCTCCAGCACATCAGTGCCCTTGTTAAAGTGAGGATCCCAGAACTGAACAGAGTACTCATGGTGCAGCCTCACCAGTGCTCAGTACAGTGGATGATCACTTCCCTCGTCCTGCTGGCCTCACTGTTCTTGATACAGGCCCAGTGGGCACACTGCTGGCCCATATTATGCCAGCTGTCAGCCAGCCCTCCAAGTCCCTTTCTGCCAAACAGCTCTCAAGCCACTCCTCCCCCAGCCTGTAGCACTGCCTGGGGTTGCTGTGACCCAAST